ATATCACGAAGTTGCATCATCAGAAGCAATATTACTTCACATGGAAAATATTACTTTACATGAATAACAGTCGAAGCATTTCACATCGTTACCATTCCCAGTGTAACTGTCCAAAAGACATACACCAAGCCATTTGGAAGCTATGGTTACATAAGAATTTCACTGAAAGGGTAGGCTCTTAAGATAAAAAAGAAATTCGAAAAATTGTACTCTGTACAGAGAAAAATATATAATAATTTCTTCATAATTGTTTCCATATTAATATCAACATTTGTTCCATAGAAAAGCTCTTTGAATACAAAATCCTAAAAAAGGTATACTGTTGCAAGAAGCCCATTAAAAACAGAATGTCACATATATCATATCTACAAATAAATAAACATAAACTTAACTAAAACGTAAAAACATCTACCAATATACACTAAGTCATGAAATCTACATAAAAATTGAAAAGCAGATATAGATGAAAATCCCACAAAAAAGCAAATGTGATATTTGGTCCAACAAAATATTACATGAAAATTGAAAATCCATCATGAAAACAGTCATGCAAACATCAATTTTATGAATATTCTTGGTAAAGCTCTGTAATACAAATTCCCTCACACCACTGCCTGACTAGGCCTCTTAATCCTACCAGTACACTGCAAGGGTCCCAAACAATATTATCTTAATCCTTTTTGACAAGAGCTCTCCACACCTGAGGAAGTCTGATACAAATACAGTGGTAGAAATGAACCATAAATGTACTAGACTCAATAGTGATAACATACAAGAACACTAACTGAAATGTCTCTAGCCCTCAAACTATGAATGCCTTTAACGTAAGATGAGCTGACTCGGGCTAGCAGGCTAGAGCCAATTGTTATCCCTGGATCATGCATAACAAACCATGCACAACTAAAATGAACCATACAGAACTGATACCATCTTCCTGAAGCAAGGGAGGTTATTGGCTACAAAAGTCCAGTTTCCAACCTTGCTGAACTAGGGATGGTATTTTGTGGCTTGATCATACTTCCACAAGTGGCTATTACAGGTTATTTCCTTTCTGTGTCCCTCCTGTTGACCAATCAGATTCTACCTCTTCTATCACTTGCATTTGCTTCAAACAAAATGGTGGTGCCCAGTCAAGACAATCTGATCAATTTATTGAAGAAAAGTTTCACATCCCTTCCCTTCACAGACACCCAGTGCATGTGGGTTGTAGCACACTTGTGGAAAAAAAGATAAAAGATTTGGAAAATATCTGTCGACGCCAAGCTGACAGTGCACATGCTTTGCAAATCCTGCTATCAACCAAAATCTGAGTGGCAATCACCATGTTGTTTATGAACTGGATGTCGATTTTGTTATGGGATTTCTGATTGGACTATGCATAAACTCTTTAGGCCAGCCAAAAGATTACTCATAAATTCCAGCCTAGTACGCAAGGGTGGTAATTGGACTTTTGTAGTCAGTTAGCTCCCTTGCCTGAGGAAGATGAACTGATACAGACAATGTGTAACTGATACTGATTATATAATTTTGTTTTTGTGAGGGTAAATGTGATATATAATGTAAAAAAATTCTCATTTCTGATCAACGCTGAGAAATGAAAGTATGAAAAAAACCAATAATAATAAATGAAAAAAATATACACACGGCCCAATATAAAGGAAACATTTCATTGAAAAAGAGTGCATATGTATTGCATCTGATTGGATGTCATTTGTTCAGGCAGATAAATACATTACACAGACAATCTCATTAAAAGCAGATCTTTTACTCCAATATGATACTTCTCTGAGGTCTGAGGACACAGATCATTCTTTCAGATTGTGCTGTCAAAGTTAGCTCCAGCTTCACCTGACACAATCATCAATGGAGGTGTCTTCAGTTGTACTGACCGAGAGGTAACGTATCAGATTTTAATAAGATTGTTACACAGATGACAGACAATAGACTTCTGAAGTCTGTGTACAAGTAGAGGAAGAGCAGGTTGGTCAAGGCAGGGGATACCAAATATACATGTAGTACACTTTAATATGAGTGAGTCAGTGAGTAGGGCTCAACACCACTTTCTTCAATACTCCTGCACTATCATGACAGGAGCATACCAGAAATGGTCTTCACACACTGTACCTTTTGAACCCAAATCTTTGAGATGAATTTTGAACTGCGTCCTTTGTACATCAAAGCGATTACAAGGTCAGTCTGGACAAGGTCTGCCTGGACAGGGTCTGCCTCGACAAGGTCAGCCTAGTCTGGACTAGGTCAGCTTGGACAAGGTCAGTCTGGACAAGATCAGCTTGGACAAGGTCAGGCTGGTCAAGGTCAGCTTTGACAAGGCCAGGCTGGACAAGGTCAGCTTTGATAAGGTCAGTCTGTACAAGGTCAGCTTTGACAAGGTCAGGCTGGACAAGGTCAGCTTTGACAAGGTCAGGCTGGACAAGGTCTACCTGGACAAGGTCAGGCTGGACAAGGTCATCCTGGACAAGGTCAGACAGGACAAGGCCAGGCTCAAAATTGCATGGGCTGATTTGTTATTCTCACATCTGATTGTTGTATTACAAGAACATCACCAGTACTAAAACTATTGATGCAGTCTCCAGAACAAAGCATCATCAGATCTTGCTAATTTTACAAATATTGCTATCATCATATATCACAAAATTCGCTCCAAATTTGATATCAGTTCACATCTTAAACATATTTCCTGTAAAACGTGGCTAAATGTTTGTATGAATTCTGAAAGACATTCTTTAGACTAGATACAAACAACATATGTTACGTCTAGCTCGACTGGTACAAACAAACACTGAATTCTGAAACATCTTCTACCTAATGAAATCACAGGTATCTACTAAAACACCCTAGGTCAACAGCCTCTAAATAGTTATGAACAAATTTACACAATTAGTAAACATGCATTTGTCATCAACATGATTACATAAATAGAAATTGTTATTTACAAATTGTTAAAATCATCAAAAACTGTTTTTTACACTTTACAATTCATCAGATATTTTTTTAAGGAATACATGAACATGTCCCGCAGTCAAAGTCATTTTCTTCCAAACCGGAAAAATCTTACAGTCAAACACTGCTGTGTCCAAGCTGAAGGAACCGATGTAAATAATTCGAGTTATCCAAGATTCGACATAACCGAAAATAATGAATAAAGAAGGAATAAGCTGGGACCAATCTCTTACTTCAAGGGAAATGTAAATTCGACACATCAAAGTTCGACACAACAGTGTTTAACTGTTTTTGTTTCACATGAAACAACAATGTTGCCATGGTTACAAAACAAAACAATATTGTTGATCAACAAGTAGATGCTTATACAAAATCAAACAAAGTGTTGCATATATTGCACATATTTCACTCTTCATACAATCACTTGAGAGGAATGTTCCTCTACACTTGTGGTTTTCTCAGAGAATCAAAATATTTCCAGATTTACTGAGTTTATCAACTGGTACATGTATTTGTAAAAGACAACAATACCAGCTAAGATTTGCATCATGATAACACATCTGCTGAACCTCAGATCAGCTGGATTATTAAAAATGCATGATCATACAGAAAAGCATTTTTTTCTACTTTTCTATTTAAAACTGAGAAACTAATTCCAAAGATATATTAGGAAGATACACATATTATTTCGCTTTGATACCTCTTTAACTCAAGCCATATAGTGTCCAGGAAAAACAGGTAACCACTCATAACAAAGAGGACAAGAAAGTTTCGTAGCACAATAATTACACTGAAGGATGAAAGAGAAGGTATTGCTTCATCCTGGAGTCCATCATGGCAAACAAAACTGAAATACCTCAGAACAGTCGCAATCGCAATTACAGAACTTATAGAACCATTTCCAAAATACTTACTTCAAGTATATCTTTGAATATATATGTGTAAATGGTTTCATTGACAAATATTTTTTACTTAAATCTTAAATTCTGTATAAAGATTTGGTAAAAAACAAACACTCTTCTCAAAGACTGCATTATCACAAAAGTGTAGAATATACCGTATTCGACGTAATAAGCGCCCAGGGTGCTCTCAAAATTAGAAATAGGGGTCTCTTATTAGAACATCATTTTGATGAAAAAAAAACAGAGTTGAAACATAAATTTTGTGGTTTATGCTGTAAGTCTGAAATGTTTATGTACGACAGATATATTTTTCAAGAATTTAATTGCCCATAATTAAGGGTGCATATAACACACGAGTGCGTATTATACGCGAATAAATAAGTCTTGTGTACATTGATCAATCGGAAGAGGTGCTTATTGGCATTGTTCACTAGCCAATATATTAGCAAATATTGCCGTGGGCGCTTATTAGAGCGGGGCACTTATTACGTCGAATACGGTAGTAGCCATTGGTCCCTGTGGCCTCTGTCCCAGCCTCTGACCTTGAACAGCAAGGGGCGTAACCAAGAGAGGTCACAGGGTACAGCGGCTCAGAACATGGTTACATGCACACTACCATAAACTTTCAATAACGTCACTGGTGTTGAGCTGATTGGCACAACCTTCCACACAATAATCGGTTGAATCACAGGTTATCGACATGAGCGAAACAAATAACATGTAACACAACTGATATACAATATTGATGAGCAGGACAAAGCACACTACTGCTGCCAGTGTTCGTGGCACCGCTTCCAAATGATTTCAAACTTAGGGTCAAGTGGGTCAAGTGTATTACCGGTACTTGGGAAAGCGACCCTGGGCCCCATACAACAAGGTGTTTGTAGCACTACAGTGAGTGAGTGAGTTGGGTTTAACACCGCTTTTAACATTATTCCAGTTATATCACGGCATGTCAGCTTAATGTGGGAGGAAAGCCCGAAGTGATGCAGGTCTCAGACGTTTACCACTACGGTGAAACCCATGAGCACGGGTATAGTGCTGACAAACCTAGAAACATAATCGGGGCGAACCGGGATTCGAACCCACAATCATAGGTTTCTGGCTTGCCCAAGGGACGCAACTCTGTACAGCGAATCGCGGCGCCTTAGACGACTGGGCCACCTGTGCCCCCCTTGTAGCACTACAACTACAAGTCTATGTTAAAGCATGGGAGTTACAATCACCTTCGCACTAACATCGCTTTGTGAAACGGGGGCCAGGCCTCCAGGCCTTTAAAAAACTGTTGTATTCTGAACATTTTGAGTTACATAAATATGATTCTTTGTAATTATTAATCTCTGTTGAACACCAATGAATAAAAAAACTTCAGTCTACAAAAAAAAAAGTTGTTCATATTATTACACTTCCATTCACAGGTTCAGTTTTGAAGACAATTAAGAGACACTAGTTTGAAACCCTCCGGACATATAGGTGAGGAGAGTACAGCAAAGTGATTCAAATAAACAGAGGGATGCTTTTTCTGAATATTCTCTATGCAATTGTTTCATGGCTGTGAAAGCACCATAATAGTATTGGCAGTAATATTAACTTATATCTGTTGGTAACTGCAGCTTAAACAGCTAGATGATGTAGAACACAAATTCTATGCACACATACGTCTAACCCTACATGGATAGTACTAAACAGGCAACGTGGACTGTTGATATATTTTGCATGAATTCACATATGATTGGTTTCTAATTTCCTGATTTTTATACCTGGAGTACAAGAGGTGCATCTAGATTAATAAACTTGGTTTGAAATTCCTGGTGTTGGAACGTCGATGGTATGGTTAAACGTTTTAACAGCAAATGATATATACTGGTAGGTCCAAGAACCTGAACATGCTGAAGGAGACACTTCATAATAATATTTCTTTTGCAAAAAATTATTATTTTAAGAACTATATGTCCTTTTGGCATCAAGGGGCTTTACAGACATAGGAGAGTAGAAACAGAAACTTATTTTTAAACAACAGTCATGATGAATATTTCTGGATTTCTGGAACCAAGTATTCTTTGGCAGGCCTCACTGTGGTTGCGAGGATCTCGTGCCTGACAATAGTTTCCTAGCCTAAAATATCAGCTTGAAAAACATTACTTTGACATTTGGGTTCATACAGGTTCAGTCTCAAATTTTGAGGTCTTTATAAGATTTTTTTCCCAAATTCAAAACTCTCAGCAGCCGATCACTGAAACTGAGATAACTATGTGATTACTGAGAGTAAATAGATCATTTACAAATTGTTTTCTTTAAAGATTATCAAGTTCAAAAGATTTCAAGCTGTTCTAAAACTAATAAAAGATTAACAGGGTTTTTTAATTTTGTAGTTGCTTAACATGTTTAAAATGACTTAAATACACACTTGTCGCTTGGATTCAGCAAATTATTGTATCTAATGCATCTCAAACACACAGAACATTTGCGAGATATATGCTTGAACAGGCTGGCTACCATTGCACTGAGCCTCAAATACTGCCTGGTAATAGCATCATCATCATCATCATTGTCATGAACACCAGGTGACCAAACAGACATACAAGGGATGAACAGGTTGCCCAGAGCTGTCTACTAATGTGCTTGCCACTAACCGCTAGATCCTCATTTGTTGTAACTGTGCAATGAAGTCAATAGGAAAATGGTTGTTTGGAGTAGCATGTAAAAGATTTAGGTTCCCCAAACGAACATATTATAGAAGAAAACCTCATGGAACCCCAGACCCGCCCTAATTTCAACACTGCATTTGAATGCTTCAATATACTGATGAAATATCCCATGTAAACCAGCAACTGAAGAGATTTATGTAGAAAACATTGCAAAGAAAAACAAAGTCAACCCCCCTCTTGCCACAATCATCTACCATGGCAGACAGGTTCTGATCCCAGCACTGCTACCCGTACTAAGGTAAGTACATGTCCACATGGCCAAGGTCACGACAGCTCCATGAATGTAGGTCGCGGACAACTCCATGAACATGGGTCACGGACAACTCCATGAACGTAGGTCGCGGACAACTCCATGAACATAGTTCACAGACAGCTCCATGAATGTATGTCATGGACAACTCCATGAACGTAGGTCGCGGACAACTCCATGAACGTAGGTCGCAGACAACTCCATGAACGTAGGTCGCGGACAACTCCATGAACATAGGTCGCGGACAACTCCATGAATGTGGGTCGCGGACAACTCCATGAATGTGGGTCACGGACAACTCCATGAATGTGGGTCACGGACAGCTCCATGAATGTGGGTCACGGACAGCTCCATGAATGTTGGTCACGGACAACTCCATGAATGTTGGTCACGGACAACTCCATGAATGTGGGTCACGGACAGCTCCATGAATGTGGGTCGCGGACAACTCCATGAATGTGGGTCGCGGACAGCTCCATGAATGTGGGTCGCGGACAGCTCCATGAATGTTGGTCCAAACAACTCCATGAATGTGGGGCAAATCATGTCTCGCACATCATTTGCACCACTACAGGGCAACTATCAAACCTCAAACAGCTAGACAGAAAATTTGGGGAAACTCAATTTGCACTTATCGTGGAGCAACTTCCACACACATACCTGAGATACTGTAACAAAAAACAAACCTGTTCTAACCAATAAGATTGTAGTCAATGGCTAGTGTTTGAGTTAAGTTTTATGCTATTTTGAAAAGTAGTTCAGTTATATCACGGCATGTTAGTCTAATGTGAGAAAAGAGACCGATGTGACGTTAAAAAGTCCTAGATGTTAAAAGAATTTTTTTTTAAATGTATCGAAACATGAAGTCAGTGTATCATGACATTCAAATAGAACATCTCTGTTTCGGAGAATTGTGGAACAATGTAGGCAAAGCTCACCCATCAATTCTTCGTAGCGGAATACATATGGCTGCTGTGCAGTATAGCAGTGAGTCTGAAGTGTGTTTATTTTTACTTAGCTAATGAAATAAGACTGTTAATAACTCTTGGATGCATATTCATGCAAACCCTACTACTGCCTGACATTAAAGTGAGTGAGTGAGTATGGGTTTACGCCGCTTTTTGCAATATTCCAGCAATATCACGGCGGGGGACACCAGAAATGGGCTTCACACATTGTACCCATGTCGGGAATCGAACCTGGGTTTTCGGTGTGACGAGCGAAAGCTATAACCACTAGGCTACCCGACTGCCCCTGACATTAAAGCAACGAGTAGAACAGCCTAAGGATATGGCAAATGTTGAGCACATCAGGTGACAAACATTGCCATTGTCAGATGTAAGCTAAGTGCTCATTGGTCTGAGAACTCACAGGCTTCCCTCTCACTTGGTCCAGTCCATGTTGTTGGTTATATATAACGACTACACTGCATCGCTGCCGTATTTATTCATAGATGATGGAGACGTAATGAATTGTAAGCTGTAAGCTGTAAGCTATAGCCTCATAAGCCTCCACTCCTCACATCATCGTTTCCTATCACTACATAGTACCCAACAACGTCTCACAGGCATGAGACTCATATCATCTATCAACAAACAAACCAATCTTTGGTCTCTTAACATGGTCTAAAAATTGTTGCAAAATTGGTCCAACATGATTGTGTAACATAAGAATACGCTAAACGTCATCCTTAAAATTTCATTGGTTCTCACTAAAATTGTTACGATTAAAATCTATATGATAAAAACATTGTTGGTTAGCTTCAACTATTTGAAATATAAATGATATGATAAAATGTTGACCAACATAGTAGCAGTAAAACAATCTACAAAAACACTAGATGGCACTAAACATTGACCGGGTTACATAACTTAAAAACAAACATTATAAATATGTTAATAGCTCAAACTAAAAACATGGCATATAATAACAAAATAAAATTACATAGGTATTAAAGTTTTCAAGTAAACAAGCAGGCTTAGAAATGTAAACAAGAATGTTTAAAATGTACATTGACTTGCTTGTTATTATGAACATCATGATACTACTTGAAGAGTTTATATAATCATGATAATACAAATCGTATTTCAACTAGCTTACATCTGCTGACTAGTACACACCTTAAGTTTGTTTTCATGAATGAAGAATAGTTTTTTGTTCAGAGGATACTTCTCAACACGACGAGGACAACGTAACACTGACAGGGGGAAAAAGTAAATTATCTTTGTCTTGATTTAATCACTTCAAATAGAATACTTCAAACCCGCTTCTCATTGCATTTTAGTCGAAGAAAACTGCTTGTGATCGATTTTATAAACAAGCCTTACATATATCAAATCATCACGTTTGTCAATGATCAGTGAAAATGAACACCCCTGACCAAAGTGAAATTCTTCCTCCATGCTTCTTGGTCTCTTATTTCTTCAGCTGATTGTCAAAGGTCATGGTCCCTGACCTTATCCTTGAAGTCAAGGTCATCTGACCTTGCTACAGAGGTCAAGGTCATCAACTGACCTTGTCCTTGTCCTTTTTTGTGAGAAGCTCGTGACAAGTATTGCAAACAATCACAGTCTCAGTCTGGGCTGCTGGAGCTGAAACAACATAAAAGAAACATAACCTACTCATGTCCCAAACCAGTGATAGGTTCTAGTGAGTGTAACACTATCCTCTGGCCACAAAAGCTGCCTGAGACTAATATAAGTGGATCGCTATTTTTCAGGGCATTATCATTTGCAGAAGCCCGAGGTCTCCCATTATGGCCCGACGAAGGAGGGCAGTTGAAAAGACCGAGGGCTTCTGCAAACGATAATGCCCTGAAAAAAACCGTTACCATTAATACAGCTAAAATGGATGGAATTTGTTATCAAATATAAAGAAACAACAATATCGGTTTTGAAACATTTACTGCAATCAACACGATTCTATCCTTATCCTATGACCTCACCTAACAACGGGCATGACAATGGCTTGGCGTCAAGCAATTTGAGGGCATTATCAAGTTACAGTGGCCTGCTGATTTCTGATAACATGCGGACGGTTTAATGATAATTCTATCCATTTTAGCTATAAGAAGTCAATAATTTTCAAAGCCATCTGAAATGGAAGATAGCATACATGCTGGCCTGGAATGAATGATAAAGTTGTTTAAAGTTGGAATTAGTACTCCTTGGTTGTCCAGTGTATCTCAATTCAATTCTCATAACATCCATGGACCCATTTGCCACCAAATGAGTACGAGTCAGCAATATTCCAGCTACATTACACTACCAACTCTTTTGGGTAAACTAGTGGTCGACTGCATGAACATCGATCCATGTCGTCAGGGCACAGTATCGCAAATATGCCAGGTCACACACTTTGTACCCATCCAATACTCATGAGCTGGGACAAACAGCAGCTCCCAACTCTTTCATAAATGATTGTGTACATGAGGACGTTATCCTGCCAGATCAGGCCTAGACTTACACGTGGCTCCAAACACGGATCTAGGGACCTTCTGGTTGCAGCACTTGTTACAGAAGTGGTTCCCACAATGCCGGCAGTAGTACTGCAATAGAAACATGGATTACATTTCACTCAGATTAATATTGAGATGATTTGACTTCAACATGTTCATAAGGAAAACAACTGCTTCTCAGATTATGATCATTGTTCCTTCTAGTTGACAAAAGGAAGAGCGAGCACTTTGGGTTCAATAGTGACAAAAATATGGGGTTATTTTCAACAACAAATAGGGGAGTGGTGGGTGTGGTGTTTCAAAGGAAAGCCATAAACTGCTTGGCGATCCTTACTCTCACATGGCATGTCGTGTGCTTGTTTGGAAGTTTGACAGTTTATCCGCAGTTTGACGTCTGGTGCTTTATGCACATTCAAAAGTCATGTATTTCCTATTTCAGTCAAAAACAGCCAAGGAAATAAAGTCAAAAACTTCTCTTAGAAAATGGGATCAGTCCAGGATTTCCTCAGCTCGTCTTTCACTTGCCATTGCTTGCTGTTAGGCTTGCTGGTTAATGAATGGGACAGTCCACTTTGGACTGTCCCATAACATGCGCCATCTTTCACTGTACTTTGGGTTTTTTCAGTAGCGTCTTATATTGCTCAACACCATAATGTGGGTGGAGATCTTTACAGCGCAGTGCTGCACTGTAAACCATTAAAGAAACCATAACAGGCTCTGCCTATCATGTCAAGACTAAGCTTTGTTTCTTGTGAATAGTATTTAATTTGTACCTACCCTTCTTTTTAAAAATGATGAGAAAGACACTTTGCATGTGAAACAGTTTTCTGGAAAAGAAATGCATTCAATGAATATATATTCAAAATAGCATAAACACAATAACTTATTTCTTTATTTTAACAAATATTGCCTAAAAACAAATATCATTCTCAGCATCATCAGAAGAATGATGAAGCAAACACACAAAAGATGGACAAGCCTTGACGGAACCCCTTTCCTCCTGAAACATAAGAACATATCAGGCGTTTTATCAACTTACCACTGGCAAGCTGTTGCCGGCGCCGCTTGAGTTCCAGGAGCCTGGCAACCATACCAGGTTTAGATGGCGCCGGCTCCAGTCTGGTAAGGTGGTCTCCGTCCAACTCTACTGTGTTCTCATCTAGATCTTCCTGGATGGAAAGTTTGAAGACATAGTGGGTGAAAACTCAGCAGTGTAACATTAGTTTTGAGTGTGAGATATTGAATTAGGGAGTCAGGAATATGACAGTTGTACTGTAATAGTCATCTTAGAGTGTCAATCCTCTCAGTTCTCTCAAAATATTTGTTGGGCACTCAATCAGTTATCTTTTATAGGTTGGACATGTCTCCCTTAATACGTAGATAGGCAGTGGCCAATTTCCCGTAGGCTGAGATGGGATGGCAATATTCATAGCATTATTTGGTCCTCTGTGTCACATGAAAACAAATATAGCAGACTATGTGAAGTAAACTTGCCCTTGACGTAATTAACATTAACAGAGTGAGTGAGTTAATATTTAACGTCACATTGGCAATATTCCAGACATATCGTGATGAGAAGTTAAACGTTTAGAATACATATATGTAGATTAAATAAAAACCTGTCATCGATGGGCAGTAAAATAACTAGAATATCACAGATTGATATTTAAAACTTGCATACAACCATAAAAAGATATCACTATATGTAACAATACATAATAAAAAGGGCTACAGATCGCCAGCAGCTGAAAGCATAGATCACAATGCTAGGGTCCATGGGGACTTACAGTACCATTGCTTCCTGCATCATGTGCCGGACCCCAGCCGGATTTACATCATCCCTTCAGGTGTTGGCAACTATTGTCCAATTTAGCCAAAGTTAAATGAACACATATTCTCAGTCTCATTAAAATCAGATCTAAGTTCTTGTTGCCGCTAAACAAAGATCTGAGGACATCCCATTATGGGTCACGTCAGAACAACCTTCCCCGAAACTTTGACCGACCACTGAAATGTCTAACAAGAAGTCGACATATTAGAAAGCAGCTTTCTCGAGCCTTACGTTTCAACCTAGTGACTTCCAATTCAGACTACATTAAATTTTTGAAAACTGAACAAACGAACATTCCAGAGTGTTTAATATATGGTTGAGATTGTATGGCAGTGCTTCCCCATGTACTGTGCAACACCTACTCCGTTCAAATGTTTATCCCACGGAGGCCAGAGATAGACGATAATTTTGACAGAATCAGTCGTACAGGCCGTAACTGTCATTCAGAATACACCGTGTTAAAGTTTTTGAGGTTGCATGATCAGAAAAAAACATTCAGACTGTCACTTTCATGATCTGGTTAGCAACGCTTTGATTGGTCAGATGAAAGGTCGTTCTGATGTGACCCGTAATGGGATGTCCTCAAATCTTTGTTTAAAGATAGCGAGAACTAACATCTGATTTAAATGAGATTGCACATATTCTACGATTAAAAATGTGACAGAAAAAAATACTTCGAATGACGTGGTCTTACATACCCCCTCTGGGGGACAATCATTTTACATTACTTCAACCCAACATCACCAGAGGTGTTTGTTATTACTTTTAGTGCAAATGCAAACTTTCAAGGTGTACCCCCAGGTCTCCTAACATTTGTAATCAAGGATTCAACACATGTACACCTACAACCAGATTTGGCACAGATTTGTACATTTTGAGGCTTATGTCCATTGGCTGAACCAACAGCAAAACTAGTATGTGCACAAACAAACCATTTTTCATTATCGCCACTTGGTCACCTCATAACAATACATACTATACAGTAGGGCTGCAACGAATACACTATGAGGCGAATACGATTTGTATCATGAATATAGGGTAACGAATACGAATAATAATTCACGAATACAATAACAAGTCAGCAGTTGATGTATCACTTGTCATATTCAGCATGTTCAGTGAGGCAACAACAACATAAATTATTTGACATGGTTTGTTAATTTTTAATATTTTATTTAATATTTTATTAAATATATTATTCATTTATATACTGCATTTATCCAGGTACTAGTATCTGCTCAAATGCAACAATGACCAGTGACCACAATACTGTCAAATTAAACAGTATAAGAGTGTTGTCTTATGAAGAAATCTATGCATAAAATATGTTATGGGTATTTTTTAAATTTAAATGCATTTGCTTGCATATTCATAAATATTCGATTCTAGTAGCCACGAATAACGAATTCAATTCTTGAATGGATACGGTTCGATTCACCGAATATGCAAGTGAATCGTAACAGCCCTACTATACAGTGAGTAGGGTGTGTAGATATTAGATCATTACCCACTCAATGAGATCCTGTTTCACAAAGTAAAGTCGCACATTTGTCAAAGGGAGATAACTTGTGAGGTTAGGTGAAATCGTGTTTAACGTCGCGTCCAAGATTATTTCACTTGTATAGCGACGTGCATGCAAGTTTGTGTGTGTGGCTGCTTGCCGATTTATAGTGCTAGCACACTGAGATACCATGCCGCAGTTTAACTTGAATACCCCACTCAGACACAGTATACTGACTCCGAGCCGACCAGTCCTTGTTTTAGTCCCTTAGTGTCGTGCACCAGACAGGGTAACAACAAATACCATCTTTTAATGTCTTTTGGTATGACGCGGCCAGGGATGGAACCCCGGACCTTCTGCTCTCCGGGTGGACGCTCTACCACTAGACCATGAAGGTGGTCGGGAGATAATTTGTACTTAACATGCTGCCACAGCTACACATAGGAATACTCACATCATATAGCTCATCTTTGTCTGGGGAATCTGTTACATCCCCACTTGAGGCTGTGTCACTGCTTCCCTGATGAAAAATTCGACCAGAGTCAATCAAAACTAAACCTTGAAAGGTACTACCATGATTACTTTTTCATCCACTGAAGGGGCAGTCGGGTAGGCTAGTGGTTAAAGCATCCGCTTGTTGGTTGGTTGGTTGGTTTGTTGTTTAACGCCGCACTCAGCAATATTCCAGCTATATGACGGCTGTCTGTAAATAATAGAGTCTGGACCAGACAATCCAGTGATTGATATCATGAGCATCGATCCACACAATTTGGATCGATGACATGTATCAACCAAGTCAGTGAGCCTGACCACCCGATCCCGTTAGTCGCCTTTTAAGTCAAGCATAGTCACCTTTTACGGCAAGCATGGGGTTGCTGAAGACCTATTCTACCCCAGAATCTTCACAGGGCGCATTCGCTTGTCACCGGGTTCGATTCCCAACATGAGTACAATGTGTGTAGCCCATTTCTAGGGTCCCCCGCCGTGATATTGCTGGAATATTGCTAAAAGCAGCGTAAAACCATACTCACTCACTCACTCATCCACTGAAATCAACACAGTACCTTTCAAAAATCTTAGGAAGTGAAATTAGATAAAACATTCCGGCAATTTTTCTTTTATGAAGTTCAAAAATAATGTACAACAATAAACTGGTCCAAATATATACCAACATTCATAAAGGTCTGATTTGTAAAACATGTAATCATCCAAGACTTGCTCCCACAGGAGATATTGCTCCGTGAGCTCAAGCTGTATCTCGTGGCAATGAAATCGCATCACAATGCTTTGCAGACCATTGTGATGTCATTGTTACCATGACGTCACAATCAAATGACATCACTAATGGCTCTGCTAGTACTTTTTACACTTAGGACACTGCTTATTACTGTTCACAAACTGAAGAAGTGGAAGAACGATGTTGGATGATAAATATAATCTCACCCTTTTGTCTTTTGAAATTAAATATGTCAACATGAGTTGATAAAAGTGGAAAAACTCTAAGGCTTGTCAAAAGACACTCGGGTGAGATTCTCTATTTATACATCTTGAAGATACAAATAATGAAACATTTACTAAGTGCTTGTATCAAGCAATCATACATCTATAAACTTTTTGTTGTCATCATCCCAAACTTGAAATTGTTGAAAAGAAAACAGTTCAAGCTACATATGACATGATGACTCCATTCAATGAATCTCCAAACATAATTTCCACAAATTTCAAGTTAGGTAGCTTCAGTGTGTCAAACACATTCCACGACAAAGAAAATGTGTTGTAATTTCATAGTCTCTGTTCATTCTCTACTCTACACCTTGTATCTATTGAGAGTGGGTTACCTTTGACTGGGATTCAGATGGAGTGGCGGCAGTGCTCTGTGAATCACTGGGGTTCGCTGCAGTGCCAGAGCAGGGCTTGCCATTTGCTATGTTCTGCAGAAATGTCCACTGGCTGTGGAGAACTGGAACAGAGCGCATCAACAAATAATGTCATTCTAGTTCAAAACGAGTTGCCAGATTGATATCAACTGAAAGAAAATCAAAGTCATCACTTTTGCAAGAAATGTTCGCATTAGGCATCATCGATCGACTTTGTTTTCTCATTTTAATCATGTTCATAATCCAGACAATTGTCTAAACTGAACCAGTGTCCAACCTAGAATTGAAAATCAAGGGGGGACTTGTCCCCCCATCATGTAGAAAATAGGGGGGATTTTGAAAAAGTAGGTGGGATAATTGCTTTCTTCAAAAATGTCTTATTTTGTATTATGTACTGGAACATCATCATATAAAAGTGTAACAGATCAGAATAAAGAACTGAAATGAATAACAATGCTTTGTGCTTTTTTCTATTTTGATTAAAAAAGTCTGTAATTCTTTTGTTTTTGTGCGACATGGTCATTCACTATTCAAAAGATCGTCTGCTATGACAGTCGGCGATTCATATTGTGTGATTTCAGAAATGAAACTAAAACGAACTAAAATGCTCAAAAATATTTTCAGAACTATTCAAGATAGAATATTTATTGTCTTTAAACATCTTGTCAAAGGTTTTAGATTACTAAACAACAAAATACAACATAATTTTGATCAAAGTTTTGATACGTTTTCTTCTAAAGTAAATCAAATTTCGTTTCCTATGCCAATCCTATCGATAATTTATTCAGCAACCCAAGGGACGTCACTCGTGTTCGAACTTCCGGTTGTTATCGATCGGTCTTCGACAGTTGTTTACAATGTTTGCTGTGAACTGTCTTTCTTCGTTAATTGATTAAAGATTTAGTGAGTATTGAATCTAAAGGTAGGGATAAACAGCTGATAAAGTAAGTGACTGTACAAGAAATTACTGTGTGCGACAGATCGCGCTTTGATTTTTTTATGAGGGGCGATTTGATTTTTTTTAGCATGAATCACGCAATCATGCGGCCTGGGTTGGACACTGCTGAACATGCTGATTGGATTTAATTCAAAGATTAACATGGCTAGCCTTGTGGTTAAAGCGTTAACTCATCTTTTCTTTGACCCAGGTTCAAATCTCCAAATGGATACAATGTCTGAAGCCCACTTCTGGCCTCCACCTGATATTGTCAACCTGACTGAGGACAGTGCACAGCCAAAGGCTATCAATAACATCAGCGGGAGGGATGTCTGTGGGTAAGCCTAGTGGTGAAAGGTGAAAGTGTTCGCACATCACGCTGAAGACCCAGGTTCGATTCCCTACACGGGTACGATGTGTCAGGCACATTTCTGGTGTCGCCTGCTGTGATATTGCTGGAATATTGCTAAAAGTGACATAATACTCACTCATTCACTCTGAATGGTAGTCCCCAAGAGTAATTCATGTATTCAACATTTGCCATTGATTACTTCAAATCAATCAGACACCAGCTAATTGTTTCTGTCACAATTTTGACTACTGACCTGGGCTTAAGTATCTCCTGCTCTCTGACTGGTCATTATTAAATATGTTGAATCAAATGACGTCTGCCTCAGCTTGTTTCTTTTGGATCTATCAGGGGTTGATTGATTGATTGATTGATTGATTAATTGATTGAGTATGGTTTTACGCCGCTTTTAGCAATATTCCAGCAATATCACGGCGGGGGAACACCAGAAATGGGCTTCATACATTGTACCCATGTCGGGAATTGAACCCGGGTCTTCGGCGTGACGAGCAAACGCTTTAACCACTAGGCTACCCGACCGCCCCCTATAAGGGGTTGGATTGCCTTGATAATTCATATTTATGCATCAGTTCACAACACAGCTGGGAAGATACTCACTATTGATGGTGTCTCTGTGACCACAGAAGAACAACAACATAATTTTGATCAAAGTTTTGATACGTTTTCTTCTAAAGTAAATCAAATTTCGTTTCCTATGCCAATCCTATCGATAATTTATTCAGCAACCCAAGGGACGTCACTCGTGTTCGAACTTCCGGTTGTTATCGATCGGTCTTCGACAGTTGTTTACAATGTTTGCTGTGAACTGTCTTTCTTCGTTAATTGATTAAAGATTTAGTGAGTATTGAATCTAAAGGTAGGGATAAACAGCTGATAAAGTAAGTGACTGTACAAGAAATTACTGTGTGCGACAGATCGCGCTTTGATTTTTTTATGAGGGGCGATTTGATTTTTTTTAGCATGAATCACGCAATCATGCGGCCTGGGTTGGACACTGCTGAACATGCTGATTGGATTTAATTCAAAGATTAACATGGCTAGCCTTGTGGTTAAAGCGTTAACTCATCTTTTCTTTGACCCAGGTTCAAATCTCCAAATGGATACAATGTCTGAAGCCCACTTCTGGCCTCCACCTGATATTGTCAACCTGACTGAGGACAGTGCACAGCCAAAGGCTATCAATAACATCAGCGGGAGGGATGTCTGTGGGTAAGCCTAGTGGTGAAAGGTGAAAGTGTTCGCACATCACGCTGAAGACCCAGGTTCGATTCCCTACACGGGTACGATGTGTCAGGCACATTTCTGGTGTCGCCTGCTGTGATATTGCTGGAATATTGCTAAAAGTGACATAATACTCACTCATTCACTCTGAATGGTAGTCCCCAAGAGTAATTCATGTATTCAACATTTGCCATTGATTACTTCAAATCAATCAGACACCAGCTAATTGTTTCTGTCACAATTTTGACTACTGACCTGGGCTTAAGTATCTCCTGCTCTCTGACTGGTCATTATTAAATATGTTGAATCAAATGACGTCTGCCTCAGCTTGTTTCTTTTGGATCTATCAGGGGTTGATTGATTGATTGATTGATTGATTAATTGATTGAGTATGGTTTTACGCCGCTTTTAGCAATATTCCAGCAATATCACGGCGGGGGAACACCAGAAATGGGCTTCATACATTGTACCCATGTCGGGAATTGAACCCGGGTCTTCGGCGTGACGAGCAAACGCTTTAACCACTAGGCTACCCGACCGCCCCCTATAAGGGGTTGGATTGCCTTGATAATTCATATTTATGCATCAGTTCACAACACAGCTGGGAAGATACTCACTATTGATGGTGTCTCTGTGACCACAGAAGAACCACATGACGAATATCAGACAGATCCACCGCGCCGGGAAGACCACGAGTGACAGGATGAACACACTCAGCTCAGCATGGAAGCTGAAATGGGTTGAACAGCACATTACTGTATGTGGCAGCTTACAAATCTAAACAGGCTTGAAGAAACACGTGGGGGATGTAACTCTGTATGGCACAAATCGCACTGTAAATGCACTGTCAACATAAAATGGTTTCTCAAAGCTCTTCAGATTCTAGCCTCGTCACGCTAACTGGCAACATAATAATTTCACAAGGTGAATAATTTGATGTAAAGAACTTTATTGTAAATATGGCCCAAAAACATGATGGATTAGGCTTAAAAAATATAGAAGATTTGGTTCTCAAACAATGACTTTTGCGAGCATGGCGAGTGGAGTTTTTTTTTAATTGCTTGTTCAAACTAGTATTTAACCAAATAAACAGTTGTGTACCATCAACCTGGGAAAGGGCCTCCCTACATTAACAAGCATACAAACTCCCACTGCCACCATGACCATAACATGATATGTGCAGTGAAGCAGTGTGCATGGAAAGGGAAGTAACTGCGTGCTATATTGGATCGCATGGTATTTAAGTATTAGGATTTTTATATTTTTTTGAAAATGGAAGTAAAACCGAAATGTGTTGCAGACTTCATGATGCAGGGCCTCAGCACCAAGACTATTATTTTTTTTAGCCTTAGCAATGTCAATTCTAGTCAAAACTTACTGGTGATGTCTTCTTGACAAACTTCCTTACCACATCACCCTGCTGACAATACTGGCATATGTAGGTGCAAAATATGGTAATAATTATGCCCAAATAATAATGCTTGGCAACTCTGGTATTATCATTGCATTTATCATGTTTATGCTATAATGGAAAATTAGTGAGTGAGTGAGTTGGGTTTAACGCCGCTTTTAACAGTATTCCAGTTATATCACGGCGTGTCAGCTTAATGTAAGAGGAAAGCCCGAAGTGATGCAGGTCTCAGACGTTTACCACTTCGATGAAACCCACGAGCACGGGTATGGTGCTGACAAACCTAGAAACATAACTGGGGCGAACCGGGATTCGAACCTAACAATCATAGGTTTCTGGCGTGCCCAAGGGACGCAACTCTGCATAGCGAATCGCGGCGCCTTAGACGACTGGGCCACCCGTGCCCCCTAATGAAATATTAAGCACTAAAGCCTCTCCTCTTTTTGGTTTTATAATCAGTGAAATACAAGTCACCTCTATGAAACTATAATCATAGATATAGCATTATAAACATGATTTGGGAAATTAATAATTCCAATATGGGAATATTTTGCTGAAATATGCTTTGAATATTGACCGCTGAGCATGTTGACCCTTGAGCATGTTGATCAGGTCTTGATAAATCCAAGCATGATTATTATGATGATTATTATGATGATAAATGGTGGACTACATATCACTCACATGATGGCTGGGATGGTGAAGTCCCACTTGAGGAGAGCGTAGAAGTAGGCGAGGTACTCGTTACACTTCACCACAAAGTCATGCATCTGTATCAGGCTGGAAAATAAAGAACATGGTCAACCATTGGTGATAGGTATTGGCCTGACTTTCACATTGGAATTTATAACAATAATATTTCATGTATATGTATCACAATATATTGCATGTATTCTTTCATCTGTAATTAGACCGCCTCCGTGGTCTAGTGGTAGAGCGTCCCTTCAGAGACCCCGCCTGGGTCATACCAAATGATGTTAAAAGATGGTACTTGTTGTTACCCTGTCTGGTACTTGGCATTTAGGGGCTAAAACAAGGACTGGTCGGCTCGGAGTCAGTATACTGTGTCTGAGTGGGGTATTCATCTTAAACTGCGGCATGGTATCTCAGTGGACTAGTACTATAAAGCATCATCAGTCCGGACTAGTACAAGCAGACACATAAGTGCAAAAATCTTGGACGCGACATGCAGGGGATGTGAACCTCCATTCCCTCTACACCTTTTTGAAAACCAAATGTAGTTTATTGTAGGCAGTAAAGTTAACTGAGAGGAGTTTGATATTTTGGACCCTTCCCTTTTAAAAATGCTGGATCTGCCCTTGGATATCCCAGTATGGATGATGTTTTTGACAGATCTGAATCTGAATTTACAATTCTATTCACATTAATAAAATCATCCAATAAAACTTGTTTATCATTTTGTGATCATAAAAGTACTTTTTCACTTGTAAACTTGACAAACACATAGGAAACATATTGATATGATTACCATATTTAACATTTGTTTAATGCAATGGAAGAAACACAAAATAAACATGGGATTCAGAAACTGAAACAAGTATTATCTATCTGTCCATGAAACGGAGGGGATCAAACTTTCAACATTACAACTGCTTATTTTCAAATGTTGAGATGACATACACCACAGTTCATGGGGTTGAACATTTGTTGAAGATGGATCAAAAGTATTTTTGACACTAAAACAATTTGTGAGTAATCTGTACATTTCTAACCCTTCATTTTTGTTGTTGCTTAACATAAGAGACAGCAATACTCCAGCTATATCATTACAATCTGAAAATAATCAAATCTAGACCTTACAAAACTAAGTGACTAATATAATGAGCAACTCCTATGCCGTAGGGATACGACACTTTCTTGCAAAAAATATCCACATGGTCTTAGATTGGAATACACAATGGGGGAAATATGTAGAATCAGCAATAGAAACTAACAGTTTCAGCCCACTAGTCCTTACAATGATAACATATAGCAAAACCTTTAAAAATGGCAAATTTCTACAAGTCCTTATGATACCTTTCCTAATGGGCAGTTTGGCAAGGACTATAGGACTAGTGCCAATTTCTAGCGCTGAGAATGGCCAAATTTTTTGTAGGGGTGTCGCAATTCCTGATTCGATGAATCTCAAATTTTCACTTGCCCATTCAACACATATGACTTCCCATGTATCAATTAATGTTTTTATTACGTGTTGATTTTCAAAACATTTCACACACAAAAAAAACATAACTACTGGAGCTAGCCTTTCTACCATGAAACAAAAATTGAAATCTGATTAGGATGACGAGAACGATTCTCAAATAATCTGTCCAGCGATTTATCCATAGGATGGTTGATAGCAACAATATCTGATCACCTGGGCTGATTCATGACGTACACGAACATGGATATTTTAATACAAAAACCAGAGCAAATTAAGCATCGCGACACTATCTCATCGTGACTCAAGTGGGTTGATACTTGACACCTCTATAATTGCCTGCCATCACCTGTATCGGAACTCGCGGACAGTATGCAGGGTGTTATTCTCCTCGTCGCTGGCATAGAAGTTCACCCTTCGCGTGTCCGGGAGTATCTTGTCTATTGGAATTTATAACAATAATGTTTCATGTATATGTATCACAATATATTGCATGTATTCTTTCATCTGTAATTAGACCACCTCCGTGGTCTAGTGGTAGAGCGTCCCTTCAGAGAGTGGAAGGTTTGGGGTTCGATCCCTGCCTGGGTCATACCAAATGATGTTAAAAGATGGTACTTGTTGTTACCCTGTTGTTACCCTGTCTGGCGCTCGGCATTAAGGGGTAAAACAAGGACTGGTCGGCTCGGAGTCAGTATACTGTGTCTGAGTGGGGTATTCATCTTAAACTGCAGCATATAAAGCATCATCAGTCCGGACTAGTACAAGCAGACACACACACATGCATGCACGTCGCTATATAAGTGCAAAAATCTTGGACGCACATGCAGGGGATGTGAACCTCCACTCCCTCTACCCCATTTTGAAAACCAAATGTAGTTTATTGTAGGCAGTACATTTAACTGAGAGGAGTTTGATATTTTGGACCCTTCCCTTTTAAAAATGCTGGATCTGCCCTTGGATATCCCGGTATGGATGATGTTTTTGACAGATCTGAATCTGAATTTACAATTCTATTCACATTAATAAAACCATCCAATAAAACTTGTTTATCATTTTGTGATCATAAAAGTACTTTTTCACTTGTAAACTTGACAAACACATAGGAAACATATTGATATGATTACCATATTTAACATTTGTTTAATGCAATGGAAGAAACACAAAATAAACATGGGATTCAGAAACTGAAACAAGTATTATCTATCTGTCCATGAAACGGAGGGGATCAAACTATCAACATTACAACTGCTTATTTTCAAATGTTGAGATGACATACACCACAGTTCATGGGGTTGAACATTTGTTGAAGATGGATCAAAAGTATTTTTGACACTATGTAAAACAATTTGTGAGTAATCTGTACATTTCTAACCCTTCATTTTTGTTGTTGCTTAACATAAGAGACAGCAATACTCCAGCTATATCATTACAATCTGAAAATAATCAAATCTAGACCATACAAAACTAAGTGACTAATATAATGAGCAACTCCTATGCCGTAGGGATACAATGACATTTTCTTGCAAAAAATATCCACATGGTCTTAGATTGGAATACACAATGGGGGAAATATGTAGAATCAGCAATAGAAACTAACAGTTTCAGCCCACTAGTCCTTACAATGATAACATATAGCAAAACCTTTAAAAATGGCAAATTTCTACAAGTCCTTATGATACCTTTCCTAATGGGCAGTTTGGCAAGGACTATAGGACTAGTGCCAATTTCTAGCGCTGAGAATGGCCAAACTTTTTGTAGGGGTGTCGCAATTCCTGATTCGATGAATCTCAAATTTTCACTTGCCCACATATGACTTCCCATGTATTTCACACAAAAAATAATACATAACTACTGGAGCTAGCCTTTCTACCATGAAACAAAAATTGAAATCTGATTAGGAAGAGGAGAACGATTCTTAAATAATCTGTCCAGCGATTTATCCATAGGATGGTTGATAGCAACAATATCTGATCACCTGGGCTGATTCATGACGTACACGAACATGGATATTTTAATACAAAAACCAGAGCAAATTAAGCATCACGACACTATCTCATCGTGACTCAAGTGGGTTGATACTTGACACCTCTATAATTGCCTGCCGTCACCTGTATCGGAACTCGCGGACAGTATGCAGGGTGTTATTCTCCTCGTCGCTGGCATAGAAGTTCACCCTTCGCGTGTCCGGGAGTATCTTGTCTAGGATGCGGGTGTGGACTTGGAAAAGACACGCAGCGGCTATGAGCATCACCAGGAAGGCAACCAACACAAACATCGCTCCTGAAAACATCAATGTTGCTGCACTGTAACCCACATCCCTTAAAACACCAATATATTTCGTGTTACTATTGCCACACACACATTGACCTGAAACATCAATATTGCTACAAAATGTAGAGTTGTATGGTTGTAATTAGCAGTATAACAGCTATATGACGGCTGTCTGTATGTAATCCAGTTGGACCAGACAATCCAGTGATTGACATCATGAGCATCGGTCCACGTGATGACATGCAATTTACCAAGTCACCAAACCTGACCACCTTATCAATCTATTCACCTCTTCTGACAAGCCATGCACCTCAGTGGAGGATGCACCTGATACTTTGATGAGGAGCCTTACCTTGTGTGAGAATCAAGCAGCAGAAAACTGAGATCAACCATAAGGCCACTGTCACACCAGGCAACTTCCACCTGAACAACAATTGAAAACATAACTGTCAACGATCATATAGAAATCAGCACTACTCCTATAGTCCTTACCAAACTGCCCAACTGATAAGATATCATAATATAAGGGTTTTGCTATACAGTAAACTACGGTTACAACGAACTCAAAGGGACCACTTATTTTAGTTCGTTATAACCGTAATTCGTTATTAGCATTTATACAGCATATATACAGCAAATGGCCGGGACTAAACATGCTAAAAAATAAGTTCGTTATATCAGTCAGTTGGTTATAAGCGTGTTCGTTATAAGCGTATTCGTTATAACCGTAGTTTACTGTATGTTCTTATCATTATAAGGGCTAGTGGACTAAAGCTGTTAGTTTCTAACCCTGGACAAGTAGAAATTTGCAATTTTTGAAGGGTTTTGCTAAATGTTATCATTATAAGGTCCAGTGGACTAAAACTTAAGTGTCAGATCTATCCCTGATGTATTACAATATGAAAGTCACAAGTCTTCTAAATCCATAACACTTATTACAGAGTCAGTAAGGTCTTATCCAGGCCCAAATTTACGTGTTTCCTGTTTCAGCCTATCCACAGAAAGATAGGAAGGTCTGTTTTCCTTCTTTGAAAAACAGTAATTTTCAGTTTGTAATTTACGATCTTTCAATTCTGTTTTTCTCACCAAAGTTAAGTAAACACCCCTTATTTCTAATTTTGAGAGCACCCTGAGCACTTATCACATCGAATACGGTAAAACATGTTCAATACAGAAAACACTGACATGGTGACAAAAGCTGATGGTGCACATCAAGAAAAATAAGAAAACAGTTTGAGGGCAGGAAACACAAACCATAATTTCTTTTAGGCTAAACAATGATAAAGGACCAAAGATCACCATTGTTCAATCAGATTACCGGTAAACATAATTATGGTAATACACTGGAAATCACTTCAGTACATTTCTGTGATACTGTCAAAGAGATTGATATTTCAACATATCACATTTGTTTGTTTTTGATGTTTAACACCGCATTCAGCAACATTCCGCCTGCATGGTGACAGCCTGAAGATAATCAAGTCTGGATCAGACAATCCAGTGATTGACATTATGTGAAACAATCCACGCTGTTGGAAGAAGGTGACACTCCATCAACCAAGTCCTTGAGCCTGACCACCGGAAGAAACTAACACTTTAAGTCCACTGGTCCTTATAATGATAACATATAGCAAAACCCTTAAAGATAGCAAATCTCTACTTGTCCTTATACCTTAACTATTGGGCAATTTGGCAATGACAACAGGACTTTAGCCAATTTCTGGCGCTGCTGACCACCCGATCCATTAAGTCGACTCTAACGACCAGAATAGTTTGCTAGGAACCAATTCTAACCCTGAATCCCATGGGATTCAAGATATTACAAGGCACACAAGAAGCTGAATTGAACATGAAGATCATCCACCTATCCATCTTCCCGAGGCAAGAGAGTTAACTGACTATCAAAGTCCAGTTTCCACCCTTGCCGAACTAGGCTGGTATTATGGAGTTACATTTTGGCTGGACTAACGAGTCTATGCATGGTCCAATCAAAATCACAACGAAATTGAAATCAGGTTCGTAAACTGTCGTGCAGATTTAGGTCGATTACAGGATTTGCAAAGCATGTGCACCGCCAACTCGTTGTCAACAGACATTTTCCAAACCTTTTCATGTTTATAATCAAGGTGCTCATATGATTTGATGGACTTTGCGATGTAAGACTCGTTTTATCCCAAGATAGATCTTGATTATAGATTAGATGGTCTTGACTGGGGCACCACCATTTTGTTTGAAACAAATGCAAGTGATGGAATCTGATTGGTCCATAGGAAAGGCTAAGACGGGACATAACTCGTAATAACTTCTCTACAATCGAGCCCAGGAATTCCAGCCTAGTTCAGCAAGGGTGGAAACTGGACTTTTAAAGTCAGTTAACTCTCTTGCCTCGGGAAGATGCCACCTATCTAGCTCATGGCAATAAAGTAACTCCAGTACAGATCTCTCTTTATAGAAACATGGCACAAATGTGGCTATGGCGTTAACAAAGTATTTAACTCAAGATGTTTTTTGTATTACTTTTACAAATTGAAGCAGAAGATTGCATTGCATTGCAGTTGTGACTTTTCCTGTCAGTGTCTACCAACCTTCTCACATCATCCACTGCAAAGAGGACGAAGGCAAAAGGCTCGATGAGTTTGGAGAACCTCTCCACCTCCATGACGAAGTCGGCGATGTCCACATAGTTCTCTGTGTCCTTCTCAGAGGAGTTGTCCTGCTTCCCCATCGTCGTTGGTCTGAAGAGGCAAATGGCACAATAGTGAATAAAAAGAATTTAATTATTTTTTTTCTATATGTTATCGTTTGATGATTAACATGATTAAGTTAGGGTTTATGCTCATAAGTCTTTTATTTATTTATTTATTTATTTTTTATATTTTTTTTACTAAATTCAGTACATGTTACATATTTTAACCATGTTAACATAAAGTAACATGTAATTCTACATTAGTAAGTGTAGGTTATGTGCCCTAAGGTCATGTCACGTCACGTCACGAGACAACAGTGTATTGTTTCCGTCATCCTGACGGCATTATTGACGTCATTCGAATCTTATTGTGACGTGAGGTTGGAATGACGTCACACAAGAAAAGACGTCATAGCTGCGGATTGTTGACGTCATTCGACAAATTGTGGTTCCGCTGTTGTTGCGACTTGCTGTCCTTATAGGTAAACACTAAAATTTATCTCTGTATGTAGACATCTTCTTCTGTAATAAATAGAACATTATTTTTGTGTTCATGTCATGCTAGGTTTATGACTTTCGTGCCTAAATTCTAGTATTTACCGGTATCGAGATTTTTATCATATTGCGACCTCACCGTATTATTACACCTCTGGTTGGTTGGTTGGTTTGTTGTTTAACGCCGCACTCAGCAATATTCCAGCTATATGACGGCTGTCTGTAAATAATTGAGTCTGGACCAGACAATACAGTGATTAATATCATGAGCATCGATCCACGCAATTGGGATCAATGACATGCATCAACCAAGACAGCGAGCCTGACCATCCGATCCTGTTAGTCCCCTTTTACGACAAACATAGTCACCTTTTACGGCAAGCATGGGTTGCTGAAGACCTATTCTACCCCGGAATTTACACCTCTGGTAATCATGGCAATATAGTGTAATGGTGATTCAGGTGTGTATGTTAGGGGTTAAACAGAATTTAGACACTCGTGTCGTACACCTAGTATGACATGAACTCGAACATAATATCCTCTATATAAGATACCTAACCCTTTGGAAGTCTGTCAGGAAACAGGTGAAAGCATCAATATGAAGTCAACAGCTGATGAATGTAGCAGGCTTATTAGTAGGGCTGCAACGAATACACTATGCGGCGAATACGATTCGTATCATGAATATGGGTAATGAATACAAATATTAATTCACGAATACAATAACAAGTCAGCAGTTGATGTATCATTTGTCATATTCAGTGAAACAGAAACATAAAATATTTGACATCGTTTGTGAATTATTAATATATTATACATTTATATACTGCACCTATCCAGGTACTAGTATCTACTCAAATGCGACAATGACCAGTGACCACAATACTGTTAAATTAAATATTATAAGAGTGTTGTTTTGGAAGAAATCTATGCATATTATATGTTCTTAAGGATATTTTTAGGTACAGGGTATGTAAATGCACTTGATTGCATATTCATAAATATTCAATTCTTGTGGCCACGAATAATGAATTCAATTCATGAATGGATTTGTTCGATTCACCGAATACGGGAGTGTATCATATCAGTCCTACTTATTAGGGTCTTTATTAATAAAATCCGAAGCTAATTTAATTTCTTTTGGCCATTGCGATGGGAGGGGGTGCTAAAAACCAATGCACATATTGGACACTGACACATATATATGGTTGGAGTGACCTAGCAGGAAGTTTGGTACCAATACTTAATAACTCATACAAGACGCTGTCTAACATGTTGTTAATCATATAATCCCAAAATAGGATATTAAATGAATTCAACCATCACTTAAAATTGCAACAATATTGTTGCTGTGCTTTTATCATATTCATAATTTTCAGGTAAGAATAGTTTGCAAATGTTTGCAGAGATGTATCTACATGGTGTATGATTCAAGCATTTCTCTGGACCTGCCTACAGGCCAAATTGGCCCATTACCTGCAGCAATAACCCATAAAAGTCCTAAATGTAAAACATAAAATTCATATAGTAATAACTAAACTGATGCTTTAGTCACAATGACTTGCAATTTACTGACAACAGGACAAAAGATGATACCGTATTCGACATGATAAGCGCCCATGGTGATATTTGCTAATATACCAGTATTGGCTAGTGAACAATCCCAATTAGCACCCCTTCCGATTGATCAATGTTCACAAGACTTATTTATTTGTGTATAATATGCACTCGTGTGTTATATGCAATTAATTTCTGGAAAATATATCTGTCGTGCATGATACGCACATACTTTTCTTTTGTATCATTTTAGGCTGTCAGCGTAAACCATGAAGTTTACAATCTTTCAAAAATATATTCTAATAAAAGCCCCCTATTTCTAATTTTGAGCGCACCCCGTCGCTTATTACGTCGAATGCGGTAAGCCTTGAACATGTAATTTTATATCATTGCATTGAATACTACACAATACACTGCTTAATGCCTCCAAAACAAGAACTTTTTAAAAAATCCCAATTTTTAATATTTTCCTAATGTGCTTGGCAAGGTTAGCCAAGTTAGAATGTTATATAAATCCCTGTGATTATTTCAGAGACTGATGTTGATCACTAACTTGGATTGCTAATTCTTCAAACCAATCAACCAATTCTTCAATCCATTATGTTAGGGCTGGGATGGGTAACTCGGGTACATGGGTCAGGTGGGTACTGAGTAAGACCCGGGTACCCACAGGACTACCCGGACCCGTAGTAAGTCATTGTTTAATGTTATATTGTTTAATGGCAAAACATATTTCGAACTCTATGGTTACACTATAAGTGACAAATTTCGTTCTGACTATACACACATTCCTTCTGACTTTATATGTTTGCATAATGATATAACTTCAGTCAACATCAGTGTATGCATGACCAGATTGGAGGATACGTGTATCTAAATACATTTTGACAGGAGTACGGTCAAACGTTTCCCAATCAGACATTTTGTACACCTCTCTTGTGACCTACAACGGGTACCAGGGTAGGGTCGGGTAATAGGGGGGTGGGTACACGGGTAGTAAATTTGGACTCGTCCCAGCCCTACATTATGTACATAATGTACATTATGTGAAAGTAGGAAACACATTACCTCCCCGCCTCAAGTTTAGACCCAAGGCAACAATCAGGATACACACTATAAAACAGTATTATGTAACAGTTAGTTGACACATCCTCAGCCCCCACGTTCCTGTAATCTGCCATGCTTACTGGTGGCGCTATGCTACTTCTGCCATTATAGGAGGTAACTCTATTGTTTCGGTTCTATTTGTAGAGTATCGCAATCTCAGAACCTGACGATTCAAGTATCATGTACCTATAGTTAAGTATCTATGATATTGTAGGTGTCGGTGAATTGTTACAGCCGTAATGTTAAGCATACTGAAATCCCCTGAGCCACATTTGCTTCAGGGCAATAATTATCACTGTCACGCTTACAGTTATTAAGAATCAGGAGTGCCTTGACCCACACATCATGTACTCAATGGTGACATATGAATAGAGCAAATGACACAAAATTGAGTAATCATTGCTAATCCTTCTGTCAACATTACTCTGATCACAGTAATCATAACATACAGCCAGATTGGTTTGTGTGTTTGTTGTTTTACGCAGCACTCAGCAATATTCCAGCCATATGACAGCAGTCTGTAAATAATCAAGTCTGGACCAGACAATCCAGTAATTGACATCATGAGCATCGATCCATGCAATTGGGATTGATGACATGCTATCAGCATCAAACCAAGTCAGCGAGCCTGACCACCCGATCCCGTTAGTTGCCTATGACAAGCATAGTCGCCTTTTACGGCAGGTATGGGTTGCTAAAGACCTATTCTACCCCGGATCTTCACGTGTCCATACAGCCAGAAGTCAATATAAGACTACAGAGAATGATAAAGAGAAATTTCTTTATTTAGTTGTTTGGTTTCGATGTTGGACAAAGTATATTTCCATGTCTGAGAACTTATCAACATGATTCACATTATCCTGATTAAGGATGTGATAACTAAGCTGAATAAGCACAGGTTTGTAGCGGTAGAGCAATTGATCAAATAATCAGTTAAACCATCCATCTTGACATTAAAAATGTTTTTTGACAGCCGTAACAAATACAATTTGCTGTCTCCCTTTTAAGCCTGCCCCACAATTTGCAAAAAAACAACTTGTGATCAGCCAACTGAATCAGATGCATCATGTAATATTATTCATTTTCATGATAAAAATCTCAATAATGATCAATTAATATCCCATGGTTAGAAATTAACACTAGCCCACCAGCCCTGGGCTAGTACAAATTCCTGCGGGCTAGAACAAATTTCCTAAGTTTCCCATTGTCTTAACATTACAAGGACATATTATCTTTACCTGGCCTAGTAAAGCCTTTCAGTTTAGTTCTAAGCCTGTAATTGATTTGATAGCTTTAATTATTGACATGAGTATTTAGGGAGATAACCACCACAATTTGTTTCACACATATGAAGTATCAGTACTTAACCCTAAGTTTGACACTGTCCAAGAAATGTGATGGGTTCCGGCAGTCAAAACATGACCATGTGTGATAGCTAGTAGATTTAAGTTAAGAGATATAAGTATTTAGCATTTTATCTAAAGGATGGAAGCAACTCCTGCCAAATATCATGCTTGTACAGAAGCTGTAGCTTCCGAAACTGGTGATGATTTCAAAACCATTTGGCCCTTGTCAGTTAGACATGTTGCAGTAACATATTTTTAGTATTGTTTATAGTTGCATTTCAGATAGTTACCTATTCCCATTCACCCTCTTTTAAGCAGGATAAATCATCAAACAACTACATTATTCTGTGTATTCACATCAATATCTTGTAGATCCATGAATAAAATCAGATGAGCAGAAATAAGGCAATAAATCAACGCAAACATCTTAAGGAAATAAACAGATGTTTCAATGATAAATTATCAGCATGAAAATCCATCTGTAGAAATAATAGCTACACCATGAGATATTTTCACAACACCAGTGACAATGCAATATGACCCAGGCTGAAATATTACCTGAAAAGAAACATTTCTTGTTTGTTTTTCATTCCTGTCAATAATTTTCACGGAAATAATGTTCTATCAGATACTTCACGCCCATCGATGCAAAAGCTTACCTTGTTGCAGTGTTCTGCAACATAGAGGACACCTGTGTAATTAGGAGGTCATCGCGATCTATCCAGTCTGACAAAGACGTTCTGTATTGCGAATGTGGCTGATTGATTGATTGACAATCTCTTCCTTTTCTGTTTTTCTGCGACAAGTGCTAGTTCACTGCAGCGCCTCCCGGAATGTAAGGGGAATAACTCTTCCGCATTCCAACACAGGTGGAATGCCGCTAAGGAATGATGCACATGTTGCTCAAATGCTAATGCTGCTTTTCATGCATGCTTTTTAAAAAAGTGAAACATAAACAAACATTATCACTGTTTTATATTAATTATATCTAATAATTTATGTATTGTTTATATTCCCTTAAAGTATTTTCAGCATTATTCTGAAAGGGATAATACATTTTCAATCTTGATATTCTATATTTATAAGCTCATATTCACAGCTCATTTAAATGTTGTTTGATGGGTTTGTATCCATGGTCTGATGCCCACACAAACAATATCAGCTATCTGGTATCTAACTACAGTGAAACCCCGTTAATCTGAACTGTACAGTTCCTGGATATAATTAAGTCTTCAACATACATAGATTTCAAGATTACACTCTAGACGCTGTACTTCCCAGTGTGAAACTCAGACATTGCCTCTGTGCAGTCATTGGGGTAGACATTAACTTCTTAATTATTATACATGATAACATATGTATGGAATCCTGGAAGGAACATTGTCGCATTGTCACGTTGTCGCCCTCACAAAATTTAAAAAAAAAAATTAAAACGCGACAATGTCCTTTTCTAGGATTCCATAAATATGAGCTAGCAGGGAAAGCAAGTGGGGTACTAGAATCAACGTGATAATTACTAGAGTACTAGAATCAACGTGATAATTACTAGAGTACTAGAATCAAACTTGATAATGAGTGAGTGAGTGAGTGAGTTTGGTTTAACGCCGCTTTAACAGTATTCCAGTTATATCACGGCGTGTCAGCTTAATGTGGGAGGAAAGCCCGAAGTGATGCAGGTCTCAGACGTTTACCACTTCGGTGAAACCCACGAGCACGGGTATGGTGCTGACAAACCTAGAAACATAATTGGGGCGAACCGGGATTCGAAACCACAATCATAGGTTTCTGGCGTGCCCAAGGGACGCAACCCTGAATAGCGGCGCCTTAGACGACGGGGCCACCCGTGCCCCCTCAAACTTGATAATTACTAGAGCACCAGAATCAAACTTGATAATTACTAGAGTACTAGAATCAACGTGATAATTACTAGAGTACTAGAATCAAACTTGATAATTACTAGAGTACTAGAATCAAACTTGATTATTACTATAGTACTAGAATCAAACTTGATAAATACTAGAGTACTAGAATCAAACTTGATAATTACTAGAGTACTAGAATCAAACTTGATAATTACTAGAGTACTAGAATCAAACTTGATAATTACCGGGGTACTGATAATTACCGGAACTGTCGGTTAGTGAGGGTGACACCACCCCTGCGTACCAAAAGGGGGTATAAATTAAAAGAATTGAGTGTTATTGAATGCACTGGTTCTAATTCAAAACGACTGGTGATTCAGTTTTGTTGAAGTGGGGTGGTCTGTTTTCACCATTGAGGCGATTCTTTTAGACTGACATTTAGTCCCAGAAATTAAGTTTTCTTATTTAAAAAAATATATATATCAACAAAATATTAAGAATTAAAATCCAAATGAAGCCCAGAACAATTCTTAATTTCAAGCTGAGGCAATCTAGACTTGCCAAATCATTCTAGACTTGAGCTGGACTACTTTTTAAAAAAAAATTCTCTTGGGCCTGGGAGATAGACTAGCGTTTCTATCTCTCATGTCTTGAATCTCCCGACTCTTTGAGAAAACTGACCTTGTCATATCTCAGTATAGTGCTTGCGGTCCCGACTGTTTGAAATAATGTATTTCTAAGAAAAATGCACGTTTGCAAATCCGCTGCCTAGGAATAAGAATACATCCCATATGATACGTCCTTTAGATTTATTATAGTGTTTGTTTAGGAGATGAACATACTGTGCGTTCGGTTCCAAATTAAATTATATTAATCTTTACACAAATTCAACAAGTTATTTCCTTTCCTGTTTAGATTCCGTTGCATTGCATTTTCAATTCTGATGTTAAAATGCCTTACCGTGTTGGGTATATATCTTGATGTTATATTTGTTTGTTGTTTACAGCCACACTCAGCAATATTCAGCCTGTAAGTAATAAAGGCTGGCCTAGACAGTCCCCCCTTTTTTTTAAAAAAGCCAAACCAAAACCAAATGTAGTATGTTGTGGGCAGTACAAATTATCTATAAAAAGGGGATTTGGATATTTTGGACCCCGGATCCATTTTAAAAATGCCGGACCCGCCCTTCATTATATAGTGGACTCTGCCCAATCCGACATCGAAACAGGGGATTTAGCTCTATGAATATGCAAGGTCTAGGGTGGTTATATACATGTGGATAATTATAATTGATGTTTATACAAGATAATGTTTTCACAACAGAAAAGGTTATAAAATCTGATTGATGTACATAAATAGGGTTAAAAAGGCGTGATGGGTAAAACAGTAATTGATATGGACAAGTTGATTGGAGTGATTGAGTTGGGATTAACGCCGCTTTGAACAGTATTCCAGTTATATCACGTCGTGTCAGCTTAATGTGGGAGGAAAGCCCGAAGTGATGTAGGTCTCAGATGTTTACCACTTTGGTGAAACCCACGAGCACGGGTATGGTGCTGACAAACCTAGAAACATTTTAGAGACTAGATGTTAGTCTATTAATAGGGCGGCGGTTTCGCCTACTGGTTAAAAGCGTACTTTCGTACAAGTTATTGAATAGAACAAATTAGTTAAAACTGTTGAATGAATGCCAATAAAAATGGAAAAATCACAGTTTATTCACATTACTTTGTCAGGTTTTGCACCGAGGGAGGTTCGAACCTACCAACGGATAGTACTGAGAAAAATATTAGGTCTGTAAATTATTATCTCCCTTTGAATGAATATCATTGAGAACTACACTCTTCATATTTTAGAATCTCGGGACGTTATGTAGAAGCCAGCTGCTTGCCGGAGATATCCGAGACGTTCCGAATCGCATGCGGAAGACATTGGGCCAAGGACTCTCATTCTCAAGGTCGTCCTCTCAAGCTCATCACACTCGGCCATGGCCACTAAGGAAGGTAGCACGAAACCTGTCAAATATACCCTGGTGCTTGTCCGCCACGGCGAGAGCGAATGGAATCAACTCAACAAATTTTGCGGATGGCACGATGCAGATTTATCTGAAACCGGCATTGCAGAGGCGAAAAGCGCAGGAGAGGTGACATTCTGATGACTCTTGAAATCACTAGAACATGTCAAACTAACCTATAAGCAGAATATGTGCATTATGAGGCTTACCTGTGATCTGTCCAAATATTATTTTTATTATGTATTAATTCAACCATATTCACTGGTTATTTTGCTATTTGCCAAAGAATAAGTTTATGCCTAATTTAGATAATTTAATGGCTACGTTTAGATTTTTCAAATTCCTAGGGATGTGTCACATGTGTTATAAAAAGATTGAATTGACTACTGTTTAGATTGTGTTATGCTATGTGTTGGAGATATCGACCTCAAAGACAATTCATTCCTGTGCACTAATTAAATTGTTTTCCACTGGATAATCTCCAAAACTAAATGTCATATTCTCCTTCACCTCAAGTTTTAAAGGAATTGGAAGGTGCATCTATTTCATAAAAAAAAGTATGACATAACTTTGACCAGCAAATGGAGCAATGCAATGTGTAATTCTATGAAATCTGCATTTGCTGAAACATATTTGATTTTATGATATGTGATAACGCAACTGACGAAGAACAAATTTGAAAGTTTTGTTATTCTATTTAAAGGAACTCAATTGCTTGATATGTTTTTTTGACATACCGGTAGTTTAAATATCCTGACCAGTGACCACCAAATCCATTGTATTGCATGGTATGTGTGTAAAGCACTGGAACATGATAGGATGCTGGGCACCAAATCTACCCAGAATGCCCATGGGATGGTGTTTCTGTATTAGTCTGTTAGAATGATGAGTACTACACTATGTGAGATTGAGTCCATCTTTGGCTTTATTACTACAGATTCTGAAAGAGAAGGGTTTTGAGTTTGATGTGGCCTACACCAGTGTGTTGAAGAGAGCCATCAAGACACTGTACTACATTCAAGATGCAACCGATCACCACTGGATCCCAGTTAAACGTTGCTGGCGTCTCAACGAACGTCATTACGGAGGACTCCAGGGGCTGAACAAATCTGAGACAGCAGAGAAACATGGCGAAGATCAAGTGAAGGTACACAAGCAGTTTTCGATATAGGCCTGAGGCTGACAAATTTTTTCTTGGGCTGATAGTTTTATATTTCAGCAGGTCCTTACGGCCTTCAGTATATTAAAGCTGACACTGGGATTGCTTGGTAAAATAAGAGTCCAGCTTCAAAGTACTCCACTTGTTAACTCTTTCAACACAGCAGGCCGGTGTGCTGGCCACACCGTAGCCTTGTTAAATAAGATATAGTTTCATTACTGACCTGTCATATCATTCATTTATCATATTTTATCAATAGATTTAAAATAATGAACTTATGTTATTGAAAAACCTAATAATCTGGGACATATGCTTCAACAACGGGCCCATATCGAAACATGTCAAAGAGCAATATAAAGTCATTTCAAGCAAATAAATATATAAATTAAAGTAATAACTAAAATCAACAAACATATTTCTAACAGTTGTTAAACTTGCATCTAAGTTACTATTTCCATCCTTTCGAGCAGTGTAATGTAAGTCTTGATTTAAACATATTTTATTGCGGAAAACTAAATTGATTAGGCACAAGTGACACACTTACGAGGCCTTCTCCTATATACATTTCATTACATTGTGGTATGTAAATTCTGTGGTGCCGAATAAATGTGCAGTGCATAGGAATTACAAGTAATGAGAGAATATAATAACACACATATTCATATATTAACAGTATTATACACATATACCTACATACACTCACACATATATCTACATATATCTACATATATATATATATGATGAATTTACATTTTTGGTTTACAATGGTACATGATATATTTATAAAATAACACAGTAGTTAATAAACTACATTTAATAGACATTTTAAATTTATGTGAAGGGCGGGAAATCTAGAATGTAACTTAGCTGTGATAGTTACAGGGAATGCTATTGTTTTACATCAAAATCAGAGTGTTGAAACAACCATGGAGTATATGTGCCAGTCACTTGTAAAATCCAGATAATTTGAAAGTAGCTCGTGAAATATAATTTTTGTTATAATTCTTGTTGTATTAGGATACAATTTAAAATCTATTTGTTTCTACAATAAATTTATGGACATATTTAAAAATTAAGTTATTTTGTTCTTCAGATAGATTTTTGTTACCACAAAGAATTGTTTCTAAGTTTGGCTGAGTCCCTATATTCCTAATGTTGATAAACAAAGATTGTCTTATTAAAGAATATTTTTTACATTCAAGAAAATAGTGAAAAGCATTTAGCATTGGGAACCGCAAAGGCAAGAAATAGTGTCTGACAAATTAACCCTAAATAAATCATCATTTAGATTGCTACATCTAGGTCTAAGTCTTGTGTGGATAATGTTAATTTGACGCTTTCCATAACTGAAATAATTTGGAGATTTAATAACAATTGGATAAATTTTAGTTTTTAATTCAGCTACAGAGATACTATTTTTAATATTTTCATTTTGTGAATTCCATTGTTTTAAAGAGTCTATTATAAATGATTTCTGAAATGTACTTGTTCTGGCAAAAGGTACAGTCATGTTCTGTTTGTTACATAGGTTATTATTTGAAGCAGCTGATCTATTGTGGGGTAACAAATCATTTAGATATGAGGGACATTCATTTATTAAATTTGGTCAAGCCTGTCACAATTCTGGCAGTGTCAAGTTGTATTAATTCAAGTTTATTTTCGTTATAAGCAGAACAGTTGTCCCATACTTCCGATGAGTATTCCAGAATAGGTCTTATAAATGTCAGATAGATTTTTGACAGATTATATCTATTTAATTTATATTTAAGTTTACGCATAGCTGAAACCATTTTCGCTGTTGACCTAGCAATAGTTGAAACATGTGCAGTCCATTTCGTATCTTGAGATAACGTGACCCCCAGATGTTTGTGGGTTCCAACATGTTCAATGGCACTGTTAGCATAGCAAATAGTTGGATAATCCTGTACCTGTTTGTGACTAAAAAGCGTGTATTTTGTCTTGGTTGGCCATGTGCTTGCCCACTGGTGGAGAGAGAGAAGGTCTTGATTTAGTGTGTCTTCAATTACGACCATATCAATAGATGAAGTTCCTATACATGTATCGTCAGCGAATAACCTAGGAATATTTTGAAGCTGATCAGTAATATCATTTATGTAAACTAGAAATAGGAACGGCCCCAGTACAGACCCTGTGGGACCCCAGCTTTAGTGTATCACTTACTTGATAAACTACCATTAATAAATACTCTTTGGCAACGAGCTGACAGATAACTACGACACCAAGCTAATAATTTACCAGTTATACCATAATGTTGAAGTTTATGCAATATACCTTTGTGCCATACCCTGTCGAAATACCCTTAGAAATATCACAGAATATCATACAAAAATATTTATGATCATCAAGTGAATTACAAATGTGATGGTAAATTTCAATTAATTGATATGTAGTACAATTGTTTGGCATGAATCCTGATTGATATTTGGAAAGTAGTTTATTCTCCAGAAAGTAATTATACATTCTTTTAAAAATGAGTCTTTCAAATAATTTCCCAAGACAAGATAACAGTGAAGTAGGCCTGTAGTTGGAAGGGTTGGATTTATCTCCCTTTTTGTACAAAGGCATTACATTAGCTAGTTTCCACTGTGATGGGAATGTGCTTTGTTCAAGAGACAAATTAAATAACAAGCGTAAAGGATTGGCTATGGATAGTGATATATATTTAAGTAATCTGTGATTCAGGTTGTCGGGACTGTTTGTTTCAATAAAGATATAATCCAATTCATGATCACATAGTTTAACAAATGGTGGTAGTGAGGCGCCTTCTTCATCAACATTGGAAACTGACGTAAAATAATCGTTGAGAGCTTCAGCTTTATCAAAATCAGAAAATGCTTCAGGTACAGTGTTGTTGTTCGTGACCAGAGGTGGGATCACGGTGCTGGCTCCAGACTCTTTGATCAAGTGACGTAGAAGTTTCCAATAATTAGAACTGTTTTCCTTGATTTGTGTAGATAATAATTCATCTAAGTTAAGATAAAAGTTTTCCTTGGCAGCTTTCTTCAAATTATTTACTTTATTTCTCTGTTTTCTATATTTAGATGAATCATGTTCATTGCATGTTCGTCTAGCTTTTTTTCTCAGTCGATCTCTTATTCTTATTTCTCTACGTAGTTCACTATCAAACCATGGTTTATCTTTTGGCCTTATTGTGACAGCACGGCTTGGTATGCATAAGCTTATATAGTTTTTAAATGCGGACAGAAAAATATCACATATTTCTTCAACAGACTCGCAGCTATTAAACATGTGCCTCCAATCAGTTGATTCAATCAATTCATTTAACTTCGCATAGTCACCATCTTTATAAATTAGAACCTCTCTCACATAGGATTTTTTCATGTCAATGTGGGTTTACTAACCAAAATTGTTTCCTGAATGAATGCTTTGCATTCATCCACATTTTCGTTATATTAAGCTCACATCCCTTTTCATCGTCCCGAGGCAAGGGAGTTATCTGACAATAAAAGTCCCTTTGCTCAACTATGCTGGAAATCTAGAGTTACATTTTGGCTGGACTAACGAGTCTATGCATAGTCCAATCAAATTTTATGTTACGGGGGTTGATGAGGGAACTTGTGTCTGTTTCAGATCTGGAGGCGTTCCTACGACGTTCCTCCCCCTGCACTGGAGGAGAGTGATGAGAGATGGTCAGGAAAAGAGAGGAAATACGATGTAAGTGTGTCAGTGTAAGCCTCGTGTAGTTTATCAGTTTATCAATTTCTTTACATCAACAATTAATTTATATCAATTTCCAGTCAAGTAGTCAATCATCAAATCTAATATTGATAGTGATTGGTATTGGTTTGAATTTTGAACTGCAATTTATTGCAATAAGGATTCTTGTATTGTGATACATACCACAATATATTTGATAGTTTCTTTCATCTGTAATTTGTTTTGAACCTTAACAAAAATGCTCCCCCTACTTGTTCTTCATAACTTCATTTTGTTGAATGTTGCTATGGTCACAAAGCATGGGTAATAGACACATCATAAACAGGAAACTGTCACAAATAGTTTAACTGTTAAAACCACAGGATAAAGTTGCTAATTTCTTAATTTCTATTTGAGTTGTCACTAGTGTTAAATCTGATGATTTGGATGATTTTGAGAAACGCAATATACCTGTATTTACAAACGTATTGTGGTACGCATTTATTGGTATTTCATTCCGTGGTATACTGGTAATATCTTGCTTGTAATTATTTATTATTTTCTCTTAGTATGTCTGTACATTTTTAATACATGCTTTTTTTTCAATTTGTGAGAGAACATAAACATGATACAAATTGAGTCCATTTTATACAAGTTTTTTTAGAATCACAAGGTCCTGATAACAGACCGTGTTTCAAGACCTACTTCTCTGTTTCCCGTAAATGTGTTTCGTTGCAGAATATAGTGATATATTAGGTCCACAGTGCATTATGCAAATCAAGCAAAGTGGTAATTAAGAATTGAGGCACCAATGTTTAGAAAAAAAAATATTAGATCATGGTGATATTTATTCTCGATGCTTGTCTTGAAATTGATTTATGTTTTTATGGCTTCTTTTTTATGAACTTTGCCAGAGTGCATTACAATTTAAATGTTTGCTTTAAAGGTGCAGAAAAACTATTTTGACTGTGCAATTATGATTTTACCCGTGTCATTGGCAATCGAGTACAAAGAAGTTTGAAGCCTTCACGTACATACAGTGTTAATGGTATGTTGTGGATGCTTCAGGATCTGCCAAAGTCTGACATCCCTGCCTGTGAGTGTCTGAAGGATACAGTAGCCAGGGTGATGCCCTACTGGGAGAGTGACATCGTCCCAGCCATCAAGGTAAACTTTGCCTCACACCTTCCTCCATAGTCCAGTGTATTGTGTCTCCATTCTGTTGTGAAAAAGGGTGTGCGGATGGCCCAGTCGTCTCAGGCGCCACGATTCGTTGTGCAGAGTTGTGTCCCTTGTGCATGCCAGAAACCTATGATTGTGGGTTCGAATCCTGGTTCGCCCCGATTATGTTTCTAGGTTTGTGAGCACCATACCCGTGCTCGTGTGTTTCACCGAAGTGGTAAACGTCTGATACCTGCATCAATTCAGGCTTTCCTCCCACATGAAGCTGACACGCCGCGTTATAACCGGAATACTGTGAAAAGTGGTGTTTAACACCACTCACTCACCCACTATTGTGATAAATACCCTGGAGCCATTCCCTACCACGGTTTCGTTTTGAACCTGATTTGAATGGCTTGCTTCTAAAAATAGTTGTCCAATCAAAATATTCTGTTGTTTCCTGATTACAACAAGCTGCGATATCCCCCAATTTCCCCACTGTTACCTGCCGTCAATGATTTTTAATGGATTTTTTTTATTCAACAGCTGTGATGAAATTGATATTTCCAGATATTGTCATATCTTGTTCCAGAGTGGCCAAAGAATTATAATCTCAGCTCACGGCAACAGTCTGCGTGGCCTCGTGAAATACCTTGACAATGTTTCGGATTCAGACATAGTGGGTCTGAACATTCCAACAGGTAAGTCACCTCATCCATTGAACAAGCCTGATAGTATTGTGATCATGTGCAGGAACTGTTGCGCTAACAATGCTGTTCGACTGGATAAGTCTCCATTTTGTTATGATATCATTTACGTAATGCAACACACATTTGTTGTATGACCTTTACTTACCAAAAACTTTCATATGGAACAATGTTTCCAGAGGTTTTCGGGGAGGTCGGGTAGACTAGTGGTTAAAGTGCTCGCTCGTCACGCTGAAGACCCAGGTTCGATCCCCTACATGATATTGCTGGAATATTGCTAAAAGCGGTGTAAAACCATACTCACTCCAGAGGTTTTCATGCTTTCAGAACACTCCAGGGAAGAGGAAAAAATATACCTAAGATTTTTTTACATTATTTTTAAATCCAAATCGGAAACATGGACTGCTTCCAGTCTAGGTATGAGTGAGTGAGATAAGTAGTAATCATGTTTCACATAGATTTTATGGGCATGGGTGGCCCATTTGTCTAAGGCGCCACAATTCGCTGGGCAGAGTTGCGTCCCTTTGGCACGCCAGAAACCTATGATTGTGGGTTTGAATCCCGGTTTGCCCCCATTATGTTTCTAGGTTTGTCAGAACCATACCCATGCTCGTGGGTTTCACCGAAGTGGTAAACGTCTGAAACCTGCATCACTTCGGGCTTTCCTCCCACACCAAGCTGACACGCTGTGATATAACTGGAATACTGTTAAATGTAGCGTTAAACCCAACTCACTTACTCACATAGGTTTTGCTTATGAACAATTAGTTTTAAATGGTTTTCTGACACTGAGGGGCACGGGAGGACAAGTCGTCAAAGGCGCCGCGATTCGCTGTGCAGAGTTGCGTCCCTTGGGCACACCGGAAACCTATGTTTGTGGGTTCAAATGCCGGTTCTCCCTGATTATGTTTCTAGGTTTGTCAGAACCATACCCGTGCTCGTGGGTTTCACCGAAGTGGTAAACGTCTGAAACCTGCATCACTTTGGGCTTTCCTCCCACATCAAACTGACACGCCGTGATATAACTGGAATACTGTTAAATGTAGCGTTAAACCCAACTCACTCACTCACATAAGTTTTTCTTATGAACAATAAGTTTGAAATGATTTTCTGACAGGGAAATCAACTCAATTCTCTTATCACTCCCCTGAATGAGAATATTCAAACATTGCTACATTTCTAGACATTTAGTTGGTTGGAATAACATTGGAGTGTTCACACATGATCACAGTATGACATTCTGTTAAACATGTTTACCAGCTGAGCCTGTTTTTAGTCTCATACTTGTAAAAATAAACAGTGTTCATGGTAAACCTCTAATGAATTATAATGGAAAGCCAGTTCCTCCACTGCTTGCTCATGTCCCTTATTTAGAGTTGTCTCCCTTCCATCCTAAAGGCTGATTTTTTGTTTATTGAGAGTATGACACACTTCATTGGTGATCAATGGAGCCAGTTATGAAAACATATCTTTTTAAGGAAGAATTAGTAATGCGAAAATTTGTTAAAGCCTTCAGTAGGTTTTAGCAGTATGGAATAAGTGGAAAATACGCCAAACAGATGACATTTCAGAACAATTTCTATATTTCATTGTATTCTGTAATGCAGTGGCAAGTGGTGTATGCTTAAACCGATTGAAAACAATGATCAATTCAACTGAATGAGGCATGACAATCTGAGCTCGTTTTGTACAGGTTGGCACCAAGGCGACTATGCTTGTCGTAAAAGGCGACTAACGGGATCGGGTGGTCCGGCTCGCTGACTTGGTTGATGCATGTCATTGTATCCCAATTGCGTGGATTGATGCTCATAACATCAATCACTGGATTGCCTGGTCCAGACTTGATTATTTACAGACTGCCATCATATAGCTGGAATATTGCTGAGTGTGGCGTTAAACAACAAACAAAAAAAGAATGGCACACATTTGTGTAAAGTGCTGCCTTGGAGAACCGCCTCAGAGCTACTATGCTGTGTCTTGGTGGAGTATTGATGTTAAACAGCTACCTGGTATCTCAGTAGGCCAGGGTGCTGTTTTACAAAGCCATCTTTGCGCGAAGGTGATCGTAACTCCCATACCTTAAAATAGACATACGACAGTCGACAGTCATAGTGCTAAGGTTGTTTTGTACAACGGCACCAGAAGTATAACACCGGCACAAGTTTGGACATAAAAGCAGCCACAAACACATGTGCAGACAGACACTCATCACTACAAAAGTGCAATAATCTTGAACGAGACGTAGGGGCGCTCGGTAGCCTAGTGGTTAAAGCGTTCGCTCAGTTTGATTCCCGACATGGGTACAATGTGTGAAGCCCATTTCTGGTGTCCCCCGCCGTGATATTGCTGGAATATTACTAAAAGCGTCGTAAAACCATACTCAGTCAGTCAGTTGAACGAGACGTTGATACTATTTCATCTCACCATAGATTTTGTTGACTCCATTCAGGTATTATATCCAAATGTCAATCAAGTCATTTGTTTTCTTGCAGGTATCCCGTTAGTGTATCGACTGGATGAAGATCTCAAACCAGTGAGCAGCCAATATCTTGCTGATGAAGCGAAGGTGCAAGCTGCTATGCAGAAAGTTGCCAATCAAGGAAAGAAGCAGTAGAGGGAGACATGACCTTTGCATGATGTCACATCCTTACTAACAACACAATACCCTTGTAAGGACACGTTTCAGTTGGTGTAACTTAAGGACCTTGTGTGAAGAGAAAATGCTCATTGTAACAGTGAAGTTTCTCACTTTCATTTGTTCTCGAAAACAATTTGTTGGCATTAACTTTGTTTTCTTTAACGTGTTTTCCTGGTATCTTGCTGATGGTTATTAAACCTGTTTATTTATATCTGGCCGAACCTGTCCACATGTATATGTGATCTTTCCACTTATGAATCTGTGCATCTCCTGTTTTCGAAGTAAAAAGGGGCTTTAGATTCCTGTAGAACCTAGGACCCTAAATGCTTTAATTGTAACATTATGGTGATTACAAGGATTCTTTAACTTTCATACTTAATTTCAGGGGGCACGGGTGGCCCAGTCGTCTAAGGCGCCGCGATTCGCTGTGCAGAGTTGCGTCCCTTGGGCACGCCAGAAACCTATGATTGTGGGTTCGAATCCCGGTTCGCCCCAATTATGTTTCTAGGTTTGTCAGCACCATACCCGTGCTCGTGGGTTTCACCGAAGTGGTAAACGTCTGAGACCTGCATCACTTCGGGCTTTCCTCCCACATTAAGCTGACACGCCGCGATATAACTGGAATACTGTTAAAAGCGGCGTTAAACCCAACTCACTCACTCACTCACTCATACTTAATTTCAAACACTGGTATCTTAAGGAAGAGAATATATGGATGTCAACTTCTTTATTATGAGGATCACAACGTTTTGGAGTATATACTGTATATACTCCAAAACATTGTGTTCCTCATAATAAAGAAGTTGACACCCATATATTCTCTTCCTTATATGTATCACTTCTAAATGCCTTTAATAGACACTGATATCTTCTAAACAATTACACTTTGAATGATGTTTGTTTGTAAGTATTCAAACTTTTTTTTCAGAATGATGATCCCTTGATAGTCATAGGAATATTTACGTAACGTGATTGTATTTATATCATACAGAACATCATCAGATGTGTTGCAGTAAACAGCCCATTCTTGTTCACGGATGTATTTTCACATTATGTACAAAACTGGAGATACGTAAAGTTTGTTTGGTTCTCATGGGTGAAGTTTAAAGGGAGATAACTCAACCGTGCATAGTTGGAAAAGAGAAGATTTTAAAATAATTCTTTACATACCAGCCATTTTAGTCCCTGTTTTTGTTTTGTTACTTACTGTAGTGGCCAACTCCTTCATCATAGTGCTACTGTTTCCATGTTTCAAGATGGGGTTGTTTGTAGACTGGTGGTAACCCTTTAACATATGTTCTGTTTGTTTAATTCTTCAGCAATCCCATTTGTCTTGTGTATTTACTTGCCTGCATTTTTGAGATAAAGACAAAATAAAGTTTTAGGAGTTAAAGATCTTTTATTATTTTTTCAATCTCATTAAAATCAGATCTTAGTTCTTGCTAAACAAAGATCTGAGGATATCCCATTACGGGTCACGTCAGACCAACCTTGCGCGAACTTTGACCGACCAATGGAATGACCAATAAGAAGGCAGCTTTCTCGTCCTTTACAGCACTAATTTCAAATTGGCGACCATTCGTCACCACTCGCCCTTTTCCGTAACCTGCAAGAAGCTATTCGGCTTGTCCGGAATAACACGAGTTGGTCACGAATGATTGGCGACTACGCTTCGAAACATATTTTGACAAATTCTCGATTACAAATTTGAAACCTGAACAAAAGAACATTCTGGAATGGCTAATAGATGGTCCAGATTGTATGGATTCAGTCGTTAAACCCGAATACCCCGTGTTAAGGTTTTCGAGGTTGCATGATTAGATATCACATTCCGACTGTCACTTTCATAATCTGGTAAGCGACGCTCTGATTGGTCGAATGAAAGGTCTGACGTGACCCCTTATGGGATGTCTTCAGATCTTTGTTTAGCGGTTGCGAGAACTAAGATCTTATTTTAATGAGATTGTTGTTTAAGGGTGCTCTGAGCAATAGTCCCGCTAAATGAAGAGTCGATGACGGCCTGTAAATAATTAAGTGGGCAGCAGACAACCAAGTGATTGACGAAATGAACAACGACTTGCACCTGGGTACGATGACATGCAATCAACCAACAGCAACCAAGTCCCCTAGCATGACCACCCGATCTATTTGATCGCCTCTTACAAGCAGCACAAGTGGCTGTGGACCGATTTTCTTACCGGGAATCCCCAAAGGGATACACGCTGAGCGATTTGCATCAAACAGGCTAGGACGACCCACTGGCCCTGACTTTGTCCGCCTTTAGATGATCGAAAATACCACATGGGATAAGAATGTATAAAAAATCACACAAACAAGGATGCAGCTAAATTACTCTGAAGATGTATGGAAATATGGATTCTCGTTCGACAATGTTTGTAAAAGTAAATATTATGATCAACATGCATCCACGTAAGATCAATTGTATCTTTAAACACTCGGTGTAGGTTAGTTTAAACACATATTTACATAATAAACATAATAACAAATATTCATTGATCAATTATGTTGTCAACATGAAATGTTTACTGACATGGAATACAAAACATTTTGCACGTTTGAAGTACGAACCGTTCGATTGCCATACAAATAGAAAGTTGTCATCCATTAAATAGCTTGTCCTTACCGTATGTAAACAACAAAATGGCGCATCCTTGCACATGTTAGAAGGATATAATGTAACTCGATATCATCGACACAAGTGTCCCGTGTAACCTCTTGTACCAGAGAGATGTATTGTGGATGTGAAAATGTAAATATTTGGTAGATCCGACGACGCAGGTTCAAAAGTCCAATGTTTAGTAACATTAATAGGTTTTGAGACACCACTAGTTGGGTTTAACGCTGTTTTTAACAGTATTCAAGTTATATCACGGCGTGTCAGCTTAATGTGGGAGGAAAGCCCGACGTGATGCAGGTCTCAGACGTTTACCATTCGTTGAAACCAACGAGCACGGGTATGGTGCTGACAAATCTATAAATAATCGGGGAGAACCGCGATTCGAACCCAAAATCATAGGTTTCTGGCGTGCCCAAGGGACGCAACTCTGCACAGCGAATCGCGGCGCCTTAGGCGACTGGGCCACCCGTGCCCCCTGGTCGGCTCAGAGTCAGTATACTATATATTCATATCAAACATCGGCATGGTATCTCAGTGGGCTGTCACTTCTAAATTGAAATTAGTCCGGTCTAGTACAAGGGAGGAAATTAGGGTAGGGTCACCAAAGAATATGACCCTTGCCCTTTTGACCACGCCCACTGCAGATCGAGGTTCAAAACGTTCGGTGTAAAAACGAAACAGTCAACTCTCTCACACACGCAGGTTCGAACCCCGGTTCGCCCCGATTATGTTTCTAGGTTTGTCAGCACTTGTTTGTGCTCTTAGGTTTCACCAAAGTGATAAACGTCTACGACCTGCATCATTTCGGGCTTTCCCCCAGATCAAGTTGACACGCCGTGATATAACTGGAATATTGTTATAAATAGCGTTAAAATTAAACTCACTCACTCACACAGTCACAGTCTGCTGTCTTGGGCTTTTGTCCTCGTTCCTACAGTATATATAGCTTCGTTGGTACAAAAATCACTTATTCCTCGATCCTTTCAGAGGTGTTGTCGTCACATTTCTGCACTGTTGTGAATCAATTTTTTGCCCAAAGGCTCGATCGATCTTGGTATTACCGAGGAATCCATACAAGAGGGTCACGAGGGACAAGCCAAGTATTGGTTTCCCCGTTATTCGGGCTGTCACTTCACGCTGGTGTCTTCGAGTTGATGGGGCAGTTATGTATCGATTCAGAAGATGTACCAACGGAATATGGTTGTCTTGTTCACGTGACGTCACACGTGGACGACCGGCCCGTGGCAAGTCAGAGTGTTGACCGGCTGTACATATGTGATATTGTTTCTCGATGAACATTAAAATTTCTGACAACTTCTTTTGCGGCATTCTTGTTTGCAGCATACCCACGGCTCGTAGGCGTTGATTTTTAGCAAGCCGTGGCATTGTGAAAGCGTTAATTACGGTTAAACAAAAGTGTTTTTATGAGCACCTGATAGCTAAACAACCAGTGTTTGCTCTTCACATTAATGCACCACGCGAGTATCAAGCTCCCAACAAACAAGCAAACATCCATTTTTTCGCCCTACCTGCACGTGCAAATTGTGAATCACGACCTTAAAGTCGAGATGTTTTCATGACCATGTTTTGAAATTGCATTACTTAATTTTTAGAATAAATTTATTTTTATTGAAATTCATATGAACCACATTTTCCCGTTAGTGTACATGATTGATTACTCCAGTGTACTCTACGCGCTGTACACTGTTTGGCTCACCTTGAAACACTACAGGCAGGAAGTGTCGCGCTGGTAACACGACCGATCGTTTGTGATCAGTTTGCTGTCGATTATTCGTCATAAATCCATTCTTATTGAATGTGAGTTTAGGGGGCGGTCGGTTAGCCTGGTGGTTAAAGCGTCCGCTCGTCACGCTGGATCCGGGTTCGATTCCCGACATGGGTACAATGTGTGAAGCTCATGTCTGGTGTGTCTCGCCGTAATATTGCTGGAATATTGCTAAACTCTGACTCAGTCAGTCAGTCAGTTGAACGAGACGTTGATACTATTTCATCTCACCATAGATTTTGTTTACTCCATTCAGGAATATTGCTAAAAGCGGCGTAAGACCATACTCAGACACGCACACATACACCCACAGACACAGACTCACACAGAGACAGACACACAGAGATACACACACATGCACACCATCACAAACACACAGTCGCGCACACATACACCCACAGACACACACACTTACATACAGAAACAGGCACACACACACACACACACACACACACACACACACACACACACACACACACACACACACACACACACACACACACACACACACACAGAGCGATAATGAATAATGATGGTGATGATGTTGATGATGACGACACTGCTGATGCTGATGCTGATTCCTGCTAATAAATCTGATCTTGATGTTATATAAAGCCTCGCTTTCAACCAACCAAACTAAACAGTAGTCCGACTCGTTCGCCGACCTTTTTGACCTTTTTGATCCACGAAATTGACGAGTGAGCATTATGAACCAACTGCGTGTTGGCCAGTAGGGCGTGACCCAAAGTAGAGTGAGGTGATTGGTCGTTGATATCTATTGTAGAACCCGATGTAGAATGCCAGTTTGGGGAAAGGCGTAAGC